TACAACTTATTATGCAGGGCACAATCCGAGGAAAGTGAAATGTGGGAAGACGAAGAATATCCTGGCTTAAGAACTTAAGGGAATGGTTTGAATGCAGTAGTGCAGAACTTTTTAGAGCGGCAATCAACAGAGTCCGCATAGCCATGATGATTTCCAAGCTTCGATAGAAGATGGAACTTAAAGAAGAAGAAATTATGATTCTTCTTCTTCAGGTGCCATCTCCGCTACGGAGGTTGGCAATCATCATAGCTATTTTAATTTTTGACGCAATAGCTCTAAATAGTTGTTTTGAGCTGCATCCAAACCATTCTCTCAGGTTCTTAAGCCACAAAATTCGTCTTCTTCCGATGCTTCTTCTGCCATCCATCTTTCCTTGCATTATGAATCGCAGGATGCCATACTACTCGCCCCGCATCACAAGTCCGAGATACTGTAACTTTCTTTCTTTAATTGTAAGTTCAACTTTCTTCTCTTTACGTATTCTTCTCAGTACTTCATTGTTCGTAACTCTATCTACCCAGGAAATCCTCATAATTTTTCTATAGATCCGCATTTCAAAGGCGTTAAGTCGTCTCATTGTATCTAGATTTAACGTCCATGATTCCACTCCATAGTATAGTACACTATATACGTAGCATTTTGTTAGACATACTTTAAGAGCTAATGTTAAATCTTTGCCACATAGGACCTTTATCATTTTCATAAAATTAGAACGTGCTTTTTCGATTCTGACTTTGATATCTGCAGTGTAGTCATTATTTTCTGTTATAAGTGTTCCTAGGTAAGTGTACTTTTTTACTCTGTCAATCTGCTGGCCCTCTATATATAAAGTATTATACTCCTATATTGGTTAGGTTAGGTTAGATTTAAAATAAGCCATACAGATATACAAGATAGACTGATGTTGCAATACCAGCCCGTTTCCCCAGTGCGACAGAGAAAACTGACGCTAAGCAGTCCCGGCATCTGTTTCTAATTTGCCAGGTTTATAGATCACGTGATCTAAATGACCAATGGGGAGGTCACGTGGTCGATAAACCCAGCCCATTAGACAGAGATGCAGGGGCTGTTTTGTGCCAGTTTTCTCTCTAGCAGTGGGGGAATGCGACTGTATTGCAGCAGTTAGTGTATCTTGCGTTATATGTCTATGAGTTTATCAAAACAATTTAACATTAAAAACAATTTAAGAGTGCTAAATTTCATCATAATAGGCAATTACCATTTAACGTTTGAACAATAACAATGAAGTTACGTCCATTGGTCCATCTTTCGGCTCTATATCCCTAAATTGATAGGTGATAACAGATTTACACAGCATCAGTTGTTGCAGAAATTAAGCCAACAATTCTGGAATATATAGTCAAAAGAATACCTGTTGAAGCTACCAATTGTATCAAGGTGAGTTCGTTGGTTGTGTTGGTTGAAGACAATAATCCACCTCTGCATTGGAGAATGGGACATATTACCGGGCTATATACGGGTCCCGATTCGTTAATAAGAGTTAATATTGTTGGAACTTCTTTTAAAATAGTTAAATGAGCTGCCCAAAGACTCATTTGCTGCCAATCATTAATATTGAAATGGAATGATTTCAAGGCAGGCAGCATATGAGATGGCACCCACAGGAAAGCAATGTTTCTGTGATTATGTTATGGAATTCTTGTCTAATGAGTTTGGCCACAAGATGGGAAGAATAGATTTTTGAGATGATTTCTAGAGAACTTAGTGAGTCAGTAATTATTAAGAAGTTAGTTTCAGGACATTTTGTCCCATGACATATGCCTTGATATATTGCAAAGAGTTCTCCTGTTAAAATAGTATTAGTCTCCGCTAGTTTATATTTCTTTATTTCGTCCTTTGTTACAAAGGCAGATGCTACACAACGTTCTGTTTTAGATCCATCTGTGAATAACTGTTTGAAGGAAGAAAGTTGAGAAATTAAGGTTTGATATTTAGAATTATTTATAGTGTATTTTTATGTATGAGAGAGTAATAAAACAATAAATTATGTATGCAAATCCCTAAACTGTTGATACGGGTGACTCAATGAAAAACAGATATTTGTCAACAAGTTTACAGAAGTTTATAGGAAAACAATTTTAAATTGAGTATGACCACCAGGTATAAAGGTTGGAGCAGAATAGAATACAATAGTTGTGAGGGTTACTAATCCCTAAATAAGGTTGCCAGTGTCGGAGTGATGGAGGTTAACAGGTACTAATGAATTTGCAAGAAATGTAAGATGTTTATTTTATTGGTTATATATAACCAATAAAAGTTTAATAAGTACCTACCTATTTGCAAAATAAAGTTTAATTCTTTAGATAAAATAAAACGTTTTATTTTATCTGAAATGAGTGCATTCCACGAAGTAAGGGTTTCAACAATCAAACATTTAATTCTTTAATTCCAGGAATCTACGACAGTAATTGACTAGATAATTACCTTCTAAACTTATTCCACAGAAAATGTGATAGTGGGTTTTTCCATTTTGTAGGAAGGTCCAAGTGGCGTATTCAAAATTCTTAACAGTTCACTAAAAGTAGGTACTTCAGTTGCAAGGTGCAGTTTATTGTGTATACTAGTGTTATGGAAAATTTGGAAGTGCTGTGTAAACGCCGAAAAATTGGTCCTTTAACTGTTAATGAAAAAACATTAATATTTAATTGTTTTAAATCATTTACAGACAAACGTTTATGTGAAAGTGTTGATGAGACCGTTGAGTTAGTTAGCAGTACACTTGGTGTTGGGAAATCTACGATTTACAGAGTTATTAAAGAAGAGAAATGTGGTAGTTTTCAAATGCCACGTAATGCTCCAGGGAAACCAAAATTTCAAATAGAATATCATTTTAAAGAAGGTCTTCGACGGAAAGTGCATGAATTCTTCTTTAGACAAGAATTTCCAACATTGGATAAAGTTCTTGTCTCAGTTCGAGATGATAAGGATTACCCAGAAATGAGTCGAAGTACGTTATGGAAACTTTTAAAAGAAATAGGCTTCCGCTGGAAAAAGAATCCCAGAAAGTCTATTTTATTAGAAAGAAGCGATATTGTCATATGGAGAAGACATTTTCTAAGAACCATAAAGGAAATGAGAAACCAAAAAAGAAAAATATTTTATCTTGATGAAACATGGATCAACGAGGGTCATACACCAAATAAATTTTGGCAGGATGAAACTGTTACAAGTCAAAGGCACGCTTTTGTAAATAACTTATCTACTGGTTTAAACCCACCATCAGGAAAGGGATGCAGGCTGATAATAGTACACATTGGCAGTTCAGACGGTTTTGTTGAAGGTGGTTTATTAACTTTTGAATCAACTCGTACCGGTGACTACCATGAAGACATGAACGCTGATGTCTTTCAAGAATGGTTCGAACAAATGATAGATCTTCTTCCTAAGAACTGTGTAATAGTAATGGATAATGCAAGTTATCACTCCAGACTTATAGAAGGACTGCCCACAATCAAGTGGTTAAAAAAAGACTTGCAGAATTGGCTGAGTTCAAAAAATATTACGTACCATCCCGGATCTATAAGAAAGGAACTTTATTCGTTGTGTGCCCTTCATAAAGAAAAATTTAAAAAATACGAAATTGATGAAATTGCCAAAAATCGTGGAATGACAGTACTTAGATTCCCACCATATCATTGTGAATTAAACCCGATTGAACTGGTATGGGCACAGATAAAGAGTGAAGTTTCAAGAAAAAATACCACTTTTAAAATTCATGATGTTAAAGCAGTTGTTTTTGGAGGCCGTAAATAATGTAAAACCTGAAAACTGGGAAAAGGCAGTAAATCACACTATTAAAGAAGAGGAAAAAATGTGGAAGCTAGACAATTTTACTGATAAAATGATCGAGCCAGTTATTATAAATCTTGGTTCTGAAAGTTCATCTTCTGAATCTGATTTGGATTTGTAACAAGTAGCTGTAAGTTTTATATTAATATTTTTATTCATCTATTTAACATACCTTAGAGGGTTTTAAAAACTCTTTTTCTCTTTTGTAATTTTTAAAAATTAAAAAAAATGTGAATTTTTTAAACCCTTTTTAATGTAGGCCAGTCAGTTCTAATATAGTGTGTGATAAAAGAGATCACTTTTGTTTACATACACATAACACTTTATAACACTGAAATAATTCATTTATTTTTTACAATTATTCAAAGTAATTTTTCAATTAATCTTGAGCACGCCCATGGAGTGGTCGAAGGTACCAGTTAAAATTATGCTAATTACTCTCTCGTTCATAAAAATAAACTATAGCGGATGGTAGATAGAGTTCTACCGTCCGCTCCCCAGTTCGTACCAGAAAGACATTTCAAGAGGTTTACTCTTTTTTGACATATAGCTATATATTTGATGTGGTCCTTCCAGGTTAAAGCTTAATCAAACATTAGACCTAGAAATTTAATTGTATTTACATATTCAAGTGTCTGACCCCCAAGTTTTAAAGTAGGTATTTCTTTTATCTTATCTAGGATATAATTTTTATTTTGTTAATATTTTATTTCGAATATATTTTTATTTAAATTAAACCCATGTTTTACTGAGTCTGAAGTCTAAAAGAGCCAACCGCCCAAAATTGGCGCCCGAGCACAGGTAAAGCGGCACAATTTAAAGTTGTATTAAGTTTGTGAATCATTTTCGGAATAAATAAAGCAATTTGTATCTTGTTGTTATACAGTTCACTTCAATAATTATCTTTAAACGTTGGGCTAAGTAATTTAAAAGGTACAATTAAAAAATTTAAATTATTTATGAAAGTAAATATACTGCCAATTAGTCACTAATAAATAAATACTTTGGTCGACAAACATATTTATATTATTATACAAATCTGCAAATCCTACACATACATGCAAACCCTTCAAATCACCAATCCCTTTCTCACCACACCGTTTTATTTACTATTTGTTTAATAAAAAGACAGCGTCAGAATCATTAATCAAAAATGAAAATACCTGTCAAGAGAGCATGCAAATGCTTACCGTTTTCCGAGGACGAAGTGGCGCAGTTGGAGGCGGAAGCGGAAAGGTTATTTCTCCGTCTTCGGACCATCATTTTCCGGAACACCGTTCCGCTGAAAGGCTCAATCTCGCAGAGCTCGATGGGATTGTTTTCATCTCGGCCGTCGTTCGCCTGAAAAGAAAAATAAATTGTGATGTATTTGGCTCTTTTCTTTCGTACGTTGCAATCTACAAAATAAGGAAATATTCGGTGGCTTTTAAGGAATATAGTAATGCGAAGAGATGCAGCTGCTGCCTACGCGCAATAAGTTATAAAATAGTACGGGTTTTTCGATCTATGTAAAGTGCGCGAGTTCGGAGAAATCTTTCTGTAGAATTATTGTTTAACATATTAAGAAGAAATATGTCAATTGAATGATTTAAAAAAATGTTATTTTTTAACAAGAAGTGACACAATCGCATACAACTAAAGAAAAAATTGTTTCTTTGCATGTCTTTTGAAAAAACCGTCTTTTGCCTTTATTTGTCCAAGTCGTTGGTTCGCTCGAATTCATGCCTGCACAGATTCGTCTTAAGCAAAGCTCAGAAATAAAAATCTAAGGGAGTTAAGTCTGGTAACCAAGTGAGCCATTTAATTGTACATTGTATATTAATTACACGTTCAAGAAAAATTGATTTGAGTACAAAACATCAAACACTCCAGAATCCCGAGACATCTTTGGAAGAATACGAAATGAAACAAAGCAGTTGGTAAGAAGATCAAAAAATGAACACTGAGAACAGTTTACAAAAAGGATTAATAAGCATCGGACCGGGTTGTAAATAATAAAAACATTATAGGATATACTACCGACTTCAATTATCACTCCAAAACGTAATGCAAATAACAATATACATTAATTAAACCATCATCGCGTCTGTCGTCCTGAGTTTCTTTTCAGCTGATTCTGACGTAACCGCACTGCATGGTTGCCAATACATCACACTCATCCCTCCTAGATGAATCTACTCATCATAGTCCTTCAAATACCTTGGATACTACGACATCTGGGATACCATGAGTGGCAAATAAACCACGTATTACATCTATAGCCACAACACTAGAGGTATTTGGAACGATTTTAACCTTCAACCACTTCGAGTATGAGTCTATAATAATCAGAAACATTTTGCCTTTAAATGGACCGGCAAAATCGAGGTATATTCTTGCCCATGGAGCTCTGGCCCACTCCCACAGATGGATTGGAGCCTTTTTTGTCATGTTTCTAGACTTCTGGCACTCGCTGCATGTATTTATTAGGTGTTTGATTTGTTTGTCGAGATTTGGCCACCAGACATAATTATGAGCGTACCAGTGACTTAATTTTTAAGATTCCAGGATGTGCTGAGTATAGCAAATTCAGTATTGTTTTCCTCTCTCCAAGTGGAACTATTAACCCCATAACAGGCAGTCTTTGTAACAGCTAATTTCGTTTTTACGTAGTAGATAAGGAGTATATTTGTCTGAAAATTTAGTTTTCTCATCAGGACAACCTTTCCAAGTCCACTGCAAAACTTTAGATAACACTGGGTCTTTCTTAGTCTCATTGACAATGTCTTTGGCACAGATTAGTTTTTCTGGGATGTTCTCAAACATCAAAACATCATCTGAGCTTGGTGGTTCTGGCGCATGTACCTTTTGTGGCAATCTGCTAAGAGCATCTCAACGACTATGTTTAATCAAAGGGGAGAACTTTTACTATTAATTAATAAATATAAATATTCAAAGGCCCATGTCTCCAAAGATGGAAAAGTTAGATGGCAATGCATCAAAAAAGGGTGCCAACAAAAAGTGTACACAAAGGAGAAAGTGATGAAAACTACGTTATTCTTGAAAAAGCGTCGGTGGACCATAATTATGATCCAGATATCCACGTTGACCGGCAAATTTTTAGTAATTCTACAAAGATGAAAGCTGTAGAAAATATATGTGAAAGTTCTTTAAAGATCGTCTACAAGGAATTGAGGAAGCAATTTACTGCTGACGACGAAAGACATTTCTAGCGTTCGAAGAAATATCTATGCTACAAGACTATAATCCACACCATCATTACCCGAGTCACAGGAAGAAGTTCTACAAGTGTTAGGGAACCTAAATTTAAAAACAAATACAGGTGAAAACTTTTTATTATCTACGAAATCTTTACTTTTTGTGTAATGGAGATTCTTTGTATGTATCTGGAACTTTTTAATACTGTTCTAAATATTTTTGTCAGATGTTTACTATACATGGCTACGAAAATGGTTTTTATGTTCCTCTAGTATTTTGTTTGTTAACTAATAAATCACAGCAAGCATACAAAAGTACTTTTGATACATTAATAACAATATGTACAGATATGAAGATTTGAATTTAAATTTCAAACCGAAGCGAATAATTTTTTATTTTGAAATAGCGATTCAAAATGCAGCCAAGTTAGTGTGGCCCGACATTGTTGCAAATTTCATTTAACACAAAATTGGTACCGAAGAATTCAAAATTTAGGTTTGTCCTCTGAAAATAAAAATCAAACTATTATTGAAAATATTTAAAATTGTTTTTCGGCATTCCTTATTTAGATTCAAATGATGTTGGTGACTTTTTTTCTGATGAACTTTTTAATATTACGCCAGATGACAGAGTTTTGCAATTTTGCGATTACCTAGTTGATAATTATTTAACGGAAGATTCAACATTTCCACCTTACATATGAGCTTCAAATTTTTCTCAAAGCTTTCAAAGGTTTTGGTTTCTTTGGTACATAACCTGTTCTTTTTTTCTTGATAAACATAATTAACTTATTATATTTAGATATATCAATGTTTGATTTTAAACTTAAGGTTGATTTATCATCGAATATTTGGGCCACAAACTTGCTATTAGTCCTTTTTCGGCAACGTTTGAAAAATATGTCAATAATACAGATTCTGAATATCGTATTATTTTTTCTCTCGTTACACCATGTAATAAATTCAGCGTATGTTTTTTCGTACAACACTCTACTTTTCCAGGCAGTAAACTTCAAGATATTTCATTTGCACTTTCCGCCACTTCTGGTGGAGTTAAATTAAACTCTTCGTCAATATCCATCTTTTGATTTTTCAAAAAAAAACAGAATTTTAAATATAAAGTAATTAATGACACACAATGACAGATAGTACTAACAGCGGCTACTTCATTTTAAATTTTTTAGTGGGAATATAAATAGGTATGTTTGGTTGCATACACCACAGGTCACTGCCAATCACAGCGTTTAATTAATTTATGCAAGCAATGTATGTCGTGTTGCCTATAATGAAATCGTTCATTAATAGAAAATCATTCATTAATATGAGTCATTAATCAATGGATTTGAGGGGTTAAAATTGATCATAAATGGACGATCGACGGAAAAATTTCATTATTTTTTCATTTAAAATTTTCGCTCATGCTTTGGCAATCGGGTTCCTTTTTGAATACAATAAAGTAAAAAATAAAAACTATATATGTTCAAAAAAATATTATGTAAGTACCTAGAGTTCGTAGTCAACCTTTTGGCGTTTATTCCCTTCTTCTAACTGGTGGTTTGTGCTACATTAGTCCGTCAGAAAATCGTCGTTTTCATTTGTGATATTGTCGATACATTGTTGTTTTATCCCTGGGGCCTTATTCTTGAATCTAGAGAAAATTTTACTCCCCACTAAGCTAACTCGCTTTTCTACTCCATCATAATTTCTCTCGATTTTAAAAAGCTGTATTCTTGAATACGGGGAGTAGAAAGGAATGAGAGAAACTATGAACAGTGCTGCCGGGTTTTCAATGAAAATTTTAACCAATCACAAAAGTTAATTACTGACAAAGGACAAGATACTGTCAACCGTCAACCTGATCACTCCCCTTAGTGGTGGGCCAACCTGCGATTTTTGTGTAGCTGTGACAAAATGTGACTGCTCCAGTATTGTCACGGTGACAAAAAGCAGTGATTTTTTGGAGCAGTTTAATCTTAACTGCTACCCTGCTACTATTGCTACCTTTGAATATTCCAAAATATATTTTAAAATTTGTAAAAATTTTCTATCTGACAAAAGAAATGGGTCCGTTGGTTGGAGGACATCCCGGCCAATTTGAAGATCTTCAACTGCCTCCAAAACATCATTAAACATAATATAATTCCAGTAGAGCATATGATTGATATCCATCTTTTATTAACTTCCGCTTTTTAAAAAACAAAATACTTCCCTAGGTTTTTGAAAGGTTATGTATTGTTATTTTCGCTCCCATTTACAATTTCTCTTACCTACTATCAGTAGAAATTGTTATTCCCTTAGGGAGTGACATTTCTCTCACACATTAGGAGAGTTTTTTTCAAGAATACAGCATTTTCGGTTTTAGGAAGCCACGCCTGCTTTTACGTCACTTTCTCTTGCAATTTCTACTCCCTGAAATTCAAGAATAAGGGCACTGGTACTATATCACCGCCAACACTGACGTTAAAATCAAATATAATGCTCATACCTATAAATTTATCGATGGTATTATTTTGATTCTGTTTGCCAGTTTGTATTTCACCACACCCTCGTATCATTGATCTCTACTCAAACAGCACCAATTACGTCGTGCTACCCCTAATAAACCCAATCTGTAACTGGTAGTTTGTTCATATCGATGCGAATTACGAATGTGTATTAAGCTGTAATTATCGGAGGTGAAATTTGCACTAATTAACAGCGCGACACAAAAACTACGCAAACAGAAGGCTGGCTAGCTTAAAGGATTCAGACCGGTTCGTTATATTTGAACAGGGTAATTAAAAACCAACAAAGCTGCCAAATTATATTGTTTAGTAAGTCTTGTGTGAAGTGCATCTCTACATAGATAGGTGTCATCATTAATAAAGGACTAAATAGAATTATACTTTTGATTTAGTATCCTTGTTGCAAACTAAATTATTTAGTTTAGTTGCCAGAGATTTGATTTCTAAAACGAGACGAAAAAACTGAATTTTGCTGTGAATGCATTTTCCTGAGAAGTCAATATTGAGACTCCAAAAAAGGTGCAAAAAAGTTAGCCCCCGGGCTTCCCTCTAAAACCTCCCTCTTCTGTAGAATAAACGGATCTCTCAGGAAAAAACGCTTAAGGCTGTTTTATCGGTACACCAAAACCTAGATACAGTG